GGTGCACCGGAAGGGGCAAGGTGCACCGGAAGGCCGATCGGAAGGGCCGATCACGCTCCGGGAGGCGGAGGAGGCGCAGGGAGTCTTCGGAGCCCCTGGAGCTCGACTGAAGGGCAGCATGGACAAGAACTGCATCGCGAACTGCAGCCAGTTCGAAGATGGAGACAAGGGGAAGATCTACAAGGGGCAGGAGAAGGAGCGTGAGGGTGGCTCCAACATTGGCAAGTACCTTACCGGGAACTGCAGCCAGTTCGAGGATGGGGACAAGGTGAAGATCGACGAGAAGAATTGGAAGGAGTTCGAGAAGGGCTTCAAGACACAGGCGTTCAGCATGGCGGACGATGACAGCATCGAGTACGCCGACGGCTGGGCGCTCTGGCACATGGGAGAACAGAAGTTGGGAGGAGAGTCACACTTGTCAAGTGCGCTAGGTGCGAGGAAGGACCCGAGGCCGAATCCTCAGGAAGTGCGAGTGCGCAAGGATGACTGCATCTTCAGCGAGGCGTGGAAGGCCAATCGTGAGCTGTTCCACTAGCAGCAGAAGGTGAAGGAGGACATGATCTCGGAGTGGAGGCTGGCCAAACGAAGTCGTGGTCGGCGTGCCTCCGAAGAAGGAGAATGAGGAACTGGACGGCTTCGGGGAGGTGGCTTTCCGGGAGATTCCGCAGCTCCCGAAGCTGATCGAGGACGGGGACGGCCTCGACAAGAACATGGAGGTGAAGCGGCCGACCGAGGTCCACTCCAAGATCGGCGGCGACATCTTCGATCTCTGCGGGAAGGCGGTGCGGCACGGCGCCTTCGATGGGCAGGGCTACACCATAGACGACCTCAGGGCCTGCTTAGCCCGCAACCTCGGCAGTGAAGGTTCAAGTGGTTCGACTGGGGCCTCTGCGTGATGAACTACAAGGCGGGGCTCCATGAACCCTTTGGGGATCGTGGGGCTTGACGGCCTGAGGGCTGCTTCGAGGAGGCCCCTTCCCCCTGGTGTGCTCCTGGCGAGTCCTGGGGCTGGGGTCTTGTTCTGTTTTGGGGTGGGGCCTGCGGGCCTGGCTTGGCCTTTTTGGGCTTGCTGCCGCCAGGGCACCTCCGGGCGGGTGAGACCTCTCCAGGGCGGCGGCGGCGCGCGGCCGCGTGCCGAGGGGCGGTCGCTGAGGTACCGCCCGCGTCACCATCATCCTCATTATCCTCATTACCCTCCTCCTCCTCCTCCTGCTCCTGCTCCTGCTCTCCCTCCTCCTCCTCCTCCTCCTCCTCCTCCTCCTCTCCTCCTCCTCCTCCTCCCCCTCCTGCTCCTCCTCCTCCTCCGCCTCCTCCTCCTCCTCCTCCTCCTCTCCCCTCCTCCTCTTCCTCCTCCCTCCTCCTCCTCCTCCTCCCTCCTTCTTGCTCCTCCTCCTCCTCTTCCCCATCCTCCTCCTCCCCCTCCTCCTCCTTGCTCCTCCTTGTCCTCCTCTTCCTCCTCCTCATCCTCCTCCTCCTCCTCCTCCCAAGTCCTCCTCCTCCTCGTCCTCATCCTCCTCCCCTACTCCTCCTCCTCTCATCATCATCATCCTCATCCTGCCCCTCTCCTCCTCCTACTCCTCCTCCTCCCTCTCCTCCTCCTCCTCCTTCTCATCCTCCTCCCATCCCTCCTCCTCCTCCTCGTCCCTCCTCCTCCTCAATCATCATCATCATCACCATCACCAGCACATCCATCATCCACATCATCATCATCATCATCATCATCATCATCATTCATCATCATCATCATCAATCATCCTTCTCCTCCTTCCCCTGCCCATCCCCTTCCTCTTCCTCTTCCTCCTCCTGTCCTCCTCCTCCTCCTCCTCACTCCTCTGTCCTCCTCCTCCCCTCCTCCTCCTCTCTCCTCCTCCTCATCATCATCAATCATCATCATCATCATCCTTCTCCTCACTTCCCTTTCCCCCCCCCCTCCCCTTCCTCGTCCTTCTTCCTCCTCTTTGTCCTCCTCCTCATCCTCTGATCCTCCCCTCCTCCTCCCTCCTCCTCCTCCCCCTCCTCCTCCTCTCTCCTCCTCCCCCTCCCCCCCACCCCTTCTCCCCCCCTCCCTCCTCCGCCTCCATTCCTCTCTCCTCCTCCTCCTCCTCCTCCTCCTCCTCCTCCTCCTCCTCCTCTTTCTCTTCCTCAGCTCCTCGATTGCTGCGAGCTTGGCCCTTTGGAGCTCCTGCTGTCCGACGAGCATATCCTCCGATGGGAGTGCGAGACCGATCGAGCGTTGTGGCGCCAGCTCGCACTGCGACGCCGGCGCCTGGCCCCCTGCCTTGGCCTTGGCCTCGCAGCTCTTGAACCGCTGCACGCACAGGTCTGCGACCCGCGGGAGGTCGCCGAGGAGCACGGCATCGAGCACTTCGGTGAGGGCCCTCATCTCCTGGCCCAGCTCCCCCCACTGCTCAGGGGGATGGACTGCGTGAATCACTGTCGTGAGATATGTCACGAATCGAGCTTCCTGCGGGATCGGTCCCGCTGCCACCGCTCCCCCTCGGGTGTTCAGATAGCGCTCGATCTCCTCGATCGCTAGCTGCAGAAGCTGCCCCGCATGCGGCGTGCGAACGACACAAGGCCCTCGCCCGCCCGAAGGGGGAGCCAGGCGAAAACCCGACCCTTCGTTGTCCTTGTCATGAGCGCCACGCTCCCCGCCTGCGGCGGTCGGCAACCTCAGCCCTGGTCTCGGCCTCCGATCCTCGTCGGGCGGATTCGCCAGGACCTTCGCACGGTGCTGCACCGCGCGTTCAGCCAGGGCCTCGCCGACGCCAATCGCCGGGGCAGCGCCCGCGGGACTCCTTCCGCCCCGCTGGGACGTCAGGCCTGAGCTTCGCTCGCAGCTCCGCCAGGCGCCTCTCCAAATCTGGCCTGCGCGCTCTTGTCACGCCGCCGTCCCTGGGGCCGTCCTCTGCGCCGTCGTCCGCGCGGCGAAGACCGCCGCCCCACCCGCTGGGTCACCTCTCAGGGCTTCGCCCCTCTCACCCCCAGGCGGAGTCGGCACGGCGAGGAGGTCGCGGCGCAGGCGGTACGAGCCTACGTGGATCAGCTGTCTGCCCTTGTCCGACGGCGTGACCACGCAGTCGCCAGTCGCGCCATCGCAGAAGTGCAAGAGCCCGTCGCCCCCTGGACCGCGCAACACTGAGGACGGCAGCGCTTGTCCCCTTCACCACGTCCAGGAAATCGCCCTCCAAGGAGCACCCGTCCTTCCGGTCGGCCGTGCACGAGCGGCCCTTGGGGACGACCGTGAAGTGCCCACGGCTACCGCGACACCTGCCCCTGCACTCGAGCACCTCTCCGTCCCGCAACGGCGGCAAGCGGGGTGCAACAGCCGCCCTGGTCGCTCGTCTTCCAGGGCTCCAGGCGGCACGCGTCGGGCCGCGCCCGTGCCCTGGCCTGCGCCGCCGCCTTGCCGAGAGGCCCGGGGCGGGGAGGGGGCCTCTCGTCATCGACGAGCGCGGGGAGGCCCTCACTCGCCTCACGCCCTGGCAGGCCTGTGCTACCCACGCCTCCGACGCTTGCCTGGCCGCCGCTCCCTCTCCGCCGGCCGCCGCGGGGCGCTCGTGTGCGGGGCCCTCGGCCTGTCCCTCGGCGCCGGGGGGGGAAGACGGGCGCAGGTCGCCCCATCCACGTGGCCGGCCCCGCGCCGCCGTCCGCCCCGCGGGCGGATCGCGCTCGCCCCGCAAACGGTCGGGCCACCGCCCGGCCCCCTGGCCCGAAGGCGACCTGCACCCCGAAGGGCGGGCCCCCGGAATTCGGGGTCTGGGCCTGGCGGCGCGCCTCCCCTCAGCGCAGCACTCTGCCCCGTCCAGGGCGGTATGGCCTGCCGCGCGCGCGCGGGAGCGCGGAGGGGGGGGGGGGGCGCGCCGTCTCGGCCGTTTTGGGCCCGGGGCCCAGACAGCTACGGAAGGAGCCGTCGAGATCCCTCACACATTTCCCGCCACATTCCCGAGCAATATGGTAAACCAAAAGGCACAGTCTTCATCTCCATCGTCATCACGACCGTCGTCACCATCATCATCATCATCATCATCATCATTATCATCATCATCATCATCATCATCATCAGCAGCAGCAGCATCATCATAATCATCATCATCATCAGCAGCATCATCATCATCAGCATCATTATTATTATTATTACTATTATTATTATTATTATTTTCATCAGCAGCAGCATCATCGTCATCGTCATGAACATCCTCCTCATCATCATCAGCAGCATCATCATCATCATCCTCATCGTCATCAGCATCAGCATCAGCATAAACATCAGCGTCATCATCGGCAGCAGCATCATCATCAGCATCATCATCACCATAATCAGCAGCAGCATCGTCACCATCAGCAGCATCATCAGCAGCATCAGCATCAGCATCATCACCATCACCAGCATCATCATCATCATCAGCAGCAGCATCATCGTCATCGTCATCGTCAGTGCCATCGTCATCATTACCATCAGCATCATCATCATCAGCATCAGCATCACCATCATCATCACTATCATCAGCAGCAGCATCATCACCAAAATCATCATCAAAGATGGTTAGCATAATCAAACTCGTTATCCTCGTCCTCGTCCTCGTCCTCCTGCTGATCATCTTCCTTGCCCTTCTTCTCCACGCCCGACGCGGGGCGAGTCCCGTTCCGCCGAGGCGTCTCCCTCCATCACCGTCACTGCTGCAAGAGTGTGAGACGAGTGTGGGCGGCGCTCGAACGGGAGCTCCGCTTTGAAAAGGTGCCGCCTTTCGAGCCTCCATCATCCCACGCCTCCGCCGACGACGACAACAGCAACTTGGCATCGCTCGGACGTGTGTATTTTTCTTTCGGCGAGGGCCATCGAGGAGCATCCTTAATCATTTGAGGAAAACCACGCACGAAAACAAAAAAAACACAGGGAATGGACGTCCCAGCGATGGCGAGGCAACGTCGACCACGAAGACGACGAAGACGACCGCGACCACGACGACGACCGCGACGACGGCTGCCCTATCCCGAAGGTCGAGCGGCTCCGGCGCATGCCACGCCCCGGCGGTGGGGCTGAGAGCGCAGGCCTGCCTCCGGGGCGTCGCCATCGCTCCGCCACCGCCGTCGTCGTTGCTGAAAGGGGTGAAGGGGGAGGAGACCGAGAAGGAAGAGGAGGGTGCACAAAAAGGAGGAGGAGGAGGAGGAGGAGGAGGGGGCGGAGGAGGAGGAGGGGGCGGAGGACAAGAGAAAGGAGCTGCAGCAGGATATGGGTATTATGAAAAGGAGGAGGGGGATGCTAGGAGGAGCACGTTAGGAGGAGAAGGCGGAGGAGGCGGCGGATGAGAACAAGCAGGAGGAGGCAGAGCAGCAGCAGCGGGGAAAGAGGAGGATGGGGAACAAGAAGGACGACGACGACCACCACCACGACGACGACGACGACGACGACGACGACGACGACGACGACGACGTCTCACACACGCTGGGTAAGGCGCGCCTCCTTACCTCTTTCCTACCCCTCCTCCCCTCCTCCTCCTCCTCCTCACCTCCACTCCTTTTCCTCTCCTCTGTGTGCGTCCTCCTCTCCCTCCTCCTCCCCCTCCTCCTCCTTTTCCTCCTCCTCCTCCTCCTCCTCCTCCGCCCCCTCCCCCTCCTTCTCCCCACCCTCCTCCTCCCACGCCGCCGCCGCCGCCTCCGCCGCCGCTCCTCCCCACCCTCCTTCCAAGCCGTCGCCGCCGTTACCACCACCACCACTTCCACAACAACAGCAACAAGAGTTACCTAACAGCGAAGACTGATAGGTTTCTAGTGGCGTCAAAAGAGAGCATCTTGACTCCCCAGGGGGGTCTGGGCGGATGCCGGGAGAATCCAGGGAATCCGGGGACTCCCCAGGACTCCTATAGATTCATATAGTTTCCTATGGATTCCAACAGATTCTGTTCCAGAACACCACTCTCAAGCCACATTTTAAATGCCCGGATCCAACTGTAGGTCACTTCGTGTTCTTCGTGTTCCCAGAACACCATTCCTGTACCATATTTTGATTGCCCGGAGCCAACTGTAGGCCACTTCGTATTCTTCGTGCTGCCAGAACACCATTCCCAGGCCACATTTTGAATGCCCAGAGCCAACTGTAGGTCACTTCGTGTTTTTAGTGTTCCCAGAACACAATTCCTGTACCATATGTTGTTTGCCCGGAGCCAACTGTGGGCCATTTCGTGATCTTCGTGTTCCCAGAACACCAGTCCTGTGCCATATTTTGAATGCCCGAGCTGAGGCAGCCTGAGGCCGAGGCAGGCTGAGGCCGAGGCAGGCTGAGGCTGAGGCTGAGGCACGCGAAGGCAGGCTGAGGCTGAGGCTGAGGTAAGGATGAAGGGAGGCAGGCTGAGGCTGAGGGCGAGGCAGGCTGAGGTTGAGGCTGAGGCCGGGCTGAGGCTGAGGCAGGGGCGAGCTAAGGATGAGACGGCTGGATAGAGACTGAGGCTGAGGCCAGGCGAGAGGCTGAGGCTGATGGCTGAGCAGGCTGAGGTTGAGCTGGCCGGCCTGATGCAGGCTGAGGCTGAGAGGACTGACCGTTGAGGCTGAGGCAGGGTGAGGCTGAGGCTGATGCAGGCTGAGGCTGAGGCAGGCTGAGGCTGAGGCAGGCTGAGGCTGAGGCTGAGGCTCATGCAGGCTGAGGCTGAGGCAGGCGGAGGCTGAGGCCGAGGCTGAAGGCAGACTGAGGCTGAGGCTGAAGAAGGCTGAGGCTGAGGCTGAGGCAGGCTGAGGCTGAGGCTGATGCAGGCTGAGGCTGAGGCAGGCTGAGGCTGAGGCCGAGGCAGGCTGAGGCTGAGGCTGAGGCCGAGGCAGGCAGAGGCAGGCCGAGGCAAGCCGAGGCAGGCTGAGGCTGAGGCTGAGGCTGATGCTGAGGCAGGCTGAGGCTGAGACAGGCTGAGGCTGAGGCTGAGGAGGCAGGCTGAGGCTGAGGCAGGCTGAGGCTGAGGCCGAGGCAGGCTCAGGCCGAGACAGGCTGAGGCTGAGGCTGAGGATGAGGCCGAGGCAGGCCGAAGCTGAGACAAGGTGAGGCTGAATGGGGCGGGGTGGGGGGGAAGGGGGGGGGGGAGGAGGGGAGGCTGAGGCAGGCTGAGGCCGAGGCAGGCTGAGGCCGAGGCAGGCTGAGGCTGAGGCTGAGGCTGAGGCCGAGGCAGGCTGAGGCTGAGGCTGAGGCAGGCCGAGGCAGGCTGAGGCTGAGGCTGAAGCTGAGGCAGGCTGAGGCTGAGGCTGAGGCTGAGGCTGTGGCTGAGGCCGAGGTGAGGCGAGGCAGTGAAGCTGAGGCAGGCTGGAGGCTGCAGGCCCGCCGAGCAGGCTGAGGATGAGGCTGAGGCAAGCCGAGGCAGGCTGAGGCGAAGTGAGGCAGGCTGACGGCGAGGCTGAGGCAGGCGAGCTGAGGTGACGAGGCTGAGGCCGGAGCAGGCTGAAACTGAGGGTGAGCTGATGCGAGGCAGGCTGAGGCTGAGCTGAGGCAAGCCGAGGCAGGCTGAGGCTGAGGCTGAAACTGAGTCAGGCTGAGGCATCCGTAGGAATCCCTAAGAATCCTTAGGAATCCTTAGGAATCCTTGGGAATCCGTAGGCATCCTTAGGAATCCGTAGGCATAGTTAAGCAGCCTCCAGAATCCTTAGGAATCCCCAGGAATCCCTAGGAATCCGGATTCCGAAGGTTTCCTAAGGATTCCTATGGATTTCTAAGGATGCCTTAGGATGCCTTAGGAATCCCTAGGGATCCTTAGGATTCCATTGGATCCTACGGCCGTTGCCACTGACTGTCATTGCGAATGCGACTGCGACTGCGAGAACAGCAGAATTCTACAACTGGATTCTCACCTGAATCTTAAGGGGAATGCTTCCAGATATGCTTATACACATCGCTGTAGTGCTCATATTTGTAATTTGGGACGTTCGCCCTTATCTGCTCGAGTGTCCAATAACGCGTATTTCCCAAACCCTCGATGCCCGCCCTCTTCGTCTTCGATCGAACCCCTTTTGGGGGGTATACCTTTCTTCCCTGCAGGCCGGGCCCCGGCAAGCGGCGGGGCGGCCGCGGACCGTCGGCCTGGCCAGCGGCAGCGCCGATCGGCGGGGCGGCCGCGGACCGTCGACCCGACCCCAAGAGGGACGGACAGGGGACCGACCACGACGACGACGACGACGACGACGACGACGACGACGACGACGACGACGACGACGACGACGACGACGACGACGACGACGACGACGACGACGGCGACGACGGCGACGGCGACGGCGACGGCGACGGCGACGACGACGGCGACGGCGACGAAGACGACGAGCGAGAGCGAGAGCGAGAGAGAACGACAGCAGGTTCACAAGGACACGAAGTAGGCCACGAAGGACGACAGCGGGGACACAAAGGGAATGCGTATGGGGCCACGAAGAGCGCGAACGAGCGGGGGCCACAAAGGGCATACGTATACTAGGCCGCGGAGGGCAAGGACGGGGCCACTGAGGGCAGCAACGGGGCCACGAAGGGCAGCGAGGGGGCCACGAAGGGCGACAGCGGGGCCACGAAGGGCATGCATAGGGAGCCAGCACGGGCGCGAACGAGCGGGGGCCACGAAGGGCATACATATATGGGGCCACGAAAAGCAGCGAGGGGGCCACGAAGGGCAGCGAGGGGGCCGTGAAGGGCTGCAACGGGGCCACGAAGGGCTGCGACGGGGTCACGAGGGGCAGCGAGGGGGCCACGAAGGATTGCAACGGGGTCACGAAACAAAGCGAGGGGGCCACGAAGGGTTGCAACGGGGCCACGAAGGGCAGCGAGGAGGCCACGAGGGGCTGCAACGGGGCCGAGAAGGGCAGCGAGGTGGCCACGAAGGGCTGAAACGGGGCCACGAAACAAAGCGAGGGGGCCACGAAGGGCTGCAACGGGGCCACGAACGGCAGCGAGATCCCGACTCTTAGGTAATCTGTGAGGGAGTTCTAAACGTGAGCGCGACTCCTGGGCGCCTGGGTGTCGGGAACGCGGCGCTTGAATAAATTGCAAGAATTTCCAACACATAAATTGCAAGCAAATCTCCAGCGAAAGCGCGACTCCAGAGCGCCGGGAGAACGATTCCTGAAATTGTTGTAAGGAGTTCCCAAGCGAGAGCGCGACTCCTGAATGAACTGCAAGAAAGTCTCGGGCGGAAGCGGGGGTCATGGCTAAATTGTGAGGAAGTCTCAGGCGGGAACTGTTGTTGTTGTTGTTGTTGTTGTTGTTGTTGTTGTTGTTGTTGTTGTTGTAACCCGGGGGCCAACGACACAGTTTGACCCTCAAGATTTTCCCTGATAAAATACCGGGTGCGAGCCCCGGGAAGGGCACTTCAATCGAGAACAAACAATGTGCACCAGACCAGGGGGATCAACAATAATTATTCGTCAGAAATGAGAGTTCAACAACAACAACAACAACAACAACAACAACAACAACAACAGCAGCAGCAGCAGCAGCAGCAGCAGCAATAGCAGCAGCAACAACAACGTCCTGATCCTCATCTTCCTTCTCTTCCTCGTTCCTCCTCCTCGTCCTCCTCCGCCTCCCCCATTCGCTTCCTCAGCATACGCCTCCACCTCCCCTAGAAGGGGGGGCAATAGGAGCACCAGGTGGACGCACGTGGAACATGCTGAGCCGGCCTTGTTCATGCTGCGTCCGCGGACGACGGCGACGACGACGACGACGACGACGCGGAGGGCCAGCCCGCGACTGCCCAGAGCGGAGGAAGGCCCCGTCGTCCGACGCCTCGTGGCGAAGAGCGAGGACGCTTGGAGAAGACACCTCGCGAATGGAGGAGCCCTCGACGACGGCGACGATGACGGCGATGGCGGCGACGGCGACGACGGGGGCGAGGGTGGGCGGCGACGACTGCGGCGACGGCATCGGTGACGGCGACAGCGCCGGTCCTCTCGAGCGGAGTCCTTGCGGACGCCGCCAACAAATCGCCAGGCGCGATCGCCTCCACGCCCCCGTGGCCGACCCGTTCCCCCGTGGCCCTGGAGGCGCGCACGGACCCGAACCCCGACGGCGCTCCCGAGCCCCGAGCCCCGAGCCCCGCCTCCGTCCCGGCCTCCCCCCCCCCCGCTCCTGCCGACGGCAGCCCGCCCCTCTGCCTGTTGGCCCCGTGGCCCACCCGCCGCTCCCCTCCACCTGGGCCAGGGGGGGGGAGGAGGGCGCGGACCCCTGCTCCCGCGCGTCGTCGCCCGAACTCCCGGCTGCGTGGCTCTCGCGCGTCCTCTCCCCCCCTTGCGCGCGCCCTCCCGGCGCGTGGGCCCCACCCGTGCGGGGCTGCGCCAGCGGGAAGCCTTCCGAGAAGGCGGGGGGGGTTCAAGAAGGCGGGCGGCTTCGTAGAAGCCCAGGAAGCCCTGTGCGAGGCCTCCAGGAACCTCCCGAGAAGGCCACGTCGTTCTAAGAAGGCGGGCGTGGGCGGGGGGCTTCCGAGAAGGCGGGAGGCGTCCGAGAAGGCGGGCGGCTTCTTAGAAGCCCAGGAGCCAGGAGGCCTTGCGAGAGGCCTCCAGGGCCCTCCCGAGCAGGCCACGTCCTTCCAAGAAGGCACCTCGACGAGGCCACCCCCTCGCGCCGCCACCCCGTGGCAACCGCGCCAAGTGCTGGGCTGGTGATTTGGATGGGGCGTTTCGCGGGGACGCCCCGCCGCGTCCTAGGGGCGATGTGAGGCGATCGCGCTCGCGCGGCGCGAGGGGCGAGCGTGGGGGGCTCCTTCATGCCTCCTCGCCTATATCTCCTCATCCATCCTAAAGCCCTCCCTTCCTACTCCCTCCTCTCCTCCTCCTCCTCCTCCTCCTCTCCTCCTCGCCTCCGATCCTCTCCTCATCCCTCCTCCTCCACCCCTCCTCTCCCTCTCCTCTCATCCCTCCTCCTGCTCTCCTCCCCCTTCATCCCCCCTCCTCCTCCTCCTTCCCCCTCCTCCACCTCCTCTCCTCCCCATCCTCCGCTCACTCTCCCTCTCATCTCCTCCTCCGCCTCCTCCTCCTCCCCCTGCCCTCCCCTCCTCCCCTCCCCCTCCTCCCTCGCTTCCTCCCCTCTCCTCTCTCCTCCTCCTCCCTCTCGCCTATCCTCCTCAGCCTCCTCCTCCGCTCCTTCATCCTCCTACTCCCCATCCTCCTACTCCTCCCTCTCCTCCCAACTCCTACTTCCTTACTCCTCCTCCCCTGCCTCACTACTCCTCACCTCCTCCTCCTCCTCTTCCTACCTCTCCTACTCCCTCCCTCCTCTCCTCCTCATCCCCTCTCCGCGCAAGGGTGGACGGGGACAGGCACTGGTTGCTCCAGCGAGGGGCAGGGCACCCCCGCGCCAGCCTGGCCGGGCACATGCCTCGGCACGCGGGGGGGGGGGGGGGGGGGGGGGGGCGGCGCGCACCGCGCCGCGTGCCCTCCCCCGGCGCCCCTCCTCCTCCGAGGGATCCACGGCCTGCCTCTCCGCCCCCTGGTGCTGCGGCGCTTGGGCCACGAGGGCGAAGACAGCACGAGGGGGGCACGAGTCGATCGAGTTGTTGTTTTGTATCACTGGTTTGTTTTTATCACACTTGTTCGGGCCACGAGAGGCGAAGAGGGGCACGTGTGCATTAAACGTGTGGCGCTCCGCGCAGATTCCTTCTGGCCCGCGCTTTCCAGAGAGGACTCCTGACCTCTGCCGTGGCCCTCTCAGGCCCTGGGCCCGCTTCGAGATGGTGGCGAGCCAGCCGCAAGTCGAGCAGAAGTCGAAGGGGAACAAACAACGCCATAAACATAAGCTTATGTCGGGCGTGTCCCCCTACAGGGGGCTTTCGTCGAAAAAAGTAATATTCCAAAGATACCCCAAGAAGAAATAGTCCCCAGACTATGTTTGGACTATTGTTTGATTGTTTGTGGGTACGTTTTTATGTTTCATCGAACATCCCCCTGTATGGGGGACAGGCCCGACTTAAACATAAGCATGCGTCGCTCCGCGCGGCTTTCTCGGGCTCCGCGCCTGGGCCTCCCCAGCCGACGCCTCTGGCGCCGCCTCCCTGGCGTCGGAGGCGCGCGCCCGGGAGGGAGGGGCGCCGCGCAGGTCCAAGAGGTCCGCGCGGCGCTCCAGATGTTTATGATTTTGGCGCTGCTTGGTCCTCTACAGTTATGTCGGGCCTGTCCCCCTACAGGGGGATGTTCGACGGATTTTTTTTTAAGGTCAACAAATATTCAAAAAAAGGTCCCCAGACTATTGTTGCATCATTTTTTTAATTTATGTTTCTGGTATTTTGAATTATGTGTCGAAAATTCCCCTGTTGGGGGACAGGCCCGACTTAACTCTACAGCCAACCCGCATACTAAGGATGGGCGGCCTTCCCAAGGGTACCATTGCATCCTTGCCTCCTGGGTCCATCCTTCGCCGCTTTCGCTGGCCGCGTCCCGCTCGAAAAGCTTCGAAGTGCGCGTCCAAGGCCCTTGCATCCTTATCGCGCATCGTTACTATACTGGTTGACTGTAGTCGAGTCGTTTTTGTGGGTCCCGCTGGAGGTGCGCTGCTGATTGCTTTCTTCCGGCACTTCGGCTGCGACTACAGAGGCCGTCCGCGCGGGCTCGAGTGTTGTTTTCCACGCGCGAGCAGCAAGATCGGGATGGGCGCGGAGAGGCTGGACAGTGGCAGCGTCAGCAGAAAGCAAGGAGGGGGGGGGGAACAAACACGATTAATCGTCCATTTCTTGTAAAATATTTGACAAAACAGGACTTGGGGGGGAGACGAGACCCAGGAAATATTGGAAAATACGGGGAATCATGTTTTTTGTCTATTTACTTGCGTGTCCCAGTGCCCCTTCAGAAAGGGAGAGATCCGGAAGGGGGCAGAGGTCAGGAAGTGAGGGGGCGACGGGGACGAGGCAGAAGACTAGCAGAAGGACGTCTGTGGAAACGGTCGGAGGGCGAAATAGCAAAGCAGAGCCAAAGGAAGAGAAGGTGAGCAGAATGCAAAGCCACTGGCCCACGAAGCTAGCCGGCGTCGTCGGGCGGGCGGGGTCGTTTGTTGTTACACCCCCCCCTTCGCCCGGCCAGCCCCTGGGTCGGGGCTCGCGCGCCGCGGCGGGCCATCGCCGCAGCCGTTTGGCGCTCCCGCGACGGGAGCTGGCGCGGGGCAGCGCTGCTGCAGGCGCCACGAGGCCGCGCCAGGGCCCAGAGCCCGCGTGGCACCGCAGGCGGCGCAGCAAGAGGGATGAGGCAGGGCGCTCCTGCGCGTCGCCTCTGCTGCCGCCCTGCTTGCGGGCCACCGTTCCTCACAGCCTTCGATGACGTGGCAAGGCAGAGGAGGAGCCGCAGGCGGCACCAGAGGCAAAGGGCAGGCATCCGAGCAGGCAGCCCATGCCATGGAGCCGCTTTGGCGCACTGGACGCGGGCGAGGCAGCAGTTGGCAAGAGACTCTGAGGAGCTAGACACCCGCAGGTGAGAGCACTTGGTGGGACCAGCCACAGCAGCAGCAGCAGCAGCAGCAGCAGCAGCAGCAGCAGCAGCAGAAGCAGCAGAAGCAGCCGCCGTGGTCTTCGCCTGCCACGGCAGGCAACCGCAGGCGCCATGCTACCAGCAGAGGGGCGGCTGCCAGCGGCAAGCATAGCCAACCTGCTGGACAGAAGCAAGCCCTGGCCAGCTCAAGCAAGGCAGACCAGAAGGCGCAGAAGGTGATCGATGATGTGGCACCATGCACTCTGGACGAAGCCACAAGGCATCCAAAGTGGCAGGCGCCGCCGTTTGGCCGTGCAGGTACCAAGACGTTCCTGAGCGTGTCGGAGCAGCGCCTCAGACAGCTAGGGGACCTAGTCCTCGCGAAGCAAGCTGCCGGCGACCACACCCACGAGCAGTTGCGCGAGATCCGTATGGTCAAATACCAGCGGCTTGTCACCAGGAGGCCAGACCAGCAGCTGCAGGGAACTGTCCAAGCGCAGGACCATGCTGAAGGAGACGGTGAGCGCGCTGAGGAGCACGACGGCACAAGTCAAGGAGGCCCCGGACAAGGCCATGACGGAGCTCAAGCAGGTGGAGTCCAACATCTCGGACGTCAGGGCGGCGCTGGCGGACGCAACCCTCCACGGCGCCGACGACGACGAGGAGGTGGACACCGACGGCTTCGGGAGCGCTCTGGATTGGGACAAGTTCCACAAGGCGGTGGTCGATCGGCGCCTGGCCAGCGAAGCAGCCGGAGGTGCTGATGCAGGTTGGCCCAGTACTACGCCACAGCGTACACCGCGCTCCAGGGCCAGCCCCGCAGGCAGCGCCAAACGGGCCTTCGCCGACCAGGTGGCGAAGGCAAGCGCGGAGCGGGCCCAGCAGCATCGCAGGCGCGAGGAGGCCGAGGAGCACTTCGCGTCAGAGATTCAGCAGATCAGGCGCGTGGCCAGGGAGCAAGCCGCTTCCTGCGCCGCAACGTGGAGCAAGCTTAGCTCGAGCTGGCGGCGAAGGAACAAGGGGATGCGCTGCTGCAGTTCCGCGAAGTGGAGGCCGCGATGAAGGAGCAGCACCAGAGGAAGCCGCCATGCAGCATGAGTTCGCTCCGGAGACGTTCGACCATTCGCAGAAGCATTCGGTGGAGCTGGAGACCAGATGCCGAACGCAAAATGCAGCCTACGACCACATGAAGTCCGAGGCTGCTGCTGCTGGAAGGCTTCGCGCAGAAGGGCGTCGCGCACAACTGGGGGCGGCCAGAGCAGCGCACGCAGTGCCAGCGGCCCCGCCAGAGCAGCTGCAGAGGGAGCTCATGCAGGCCAGGCAGGAGGTTGCCCAAGCGCAGCAGCAGGCGCAGCACGAAGTCACCAAATCAGCCGCGGCAGCAGGCACGCACCGTCAGCCGCTCCAAAGACGCGAGACGCCCTCCGAGGAGAAGATTAGCACTATGGGAACAGCGCACCAGGAGGAGCTCGCCAGCACTAGGACTGAGGCGGAGAGCCCATGAGCTTGCCAAAACAAAAGGAATAGGCATCCTGCCACCAGCGACAGCCGAGCAGCTGCAGCGCGTCGTGGACAGGGCTTCGCGACAGCAGCAGCGGCTGGCACAAGCAAAGGCCCACTTGGAGGCAGCCGAGGCACGCGAAGAACAGATCAGGAGGACAGCACGCCAGGAGGTTGAGGACCCGCGGAGATCCGAGCCTCAGCTCTCAACCAGCTTGAGGAGGTTGCACCGCACTCCAAATCGGATCTTGCAGCTCCATTGGAAGCCCAGATTCTGAAGATAGCACTGGCCCGCGCGCAGTCAGCAGCTTCCCGTGAGGAAGAGGCTGCGAGGACATTCGAGGCGGGGGTAGCTGCGCGACAGTCTGCGGAGACCCAGCAGCTCACCCATAAGGTTATGCGCGAAGAGGCGGGAGCGCATGACGCGCAGCTGCACGCGCATAGCACGCATCAAGAGGCCTCCGCGCTGAGAACTCAGCTCGGCGAGCAGCTAGAGGCAAGCAAAGAGCAGGGGCACCCCCTCAACGAGGAGCTGGCGAGGGCATGGAGCTTTAAAGACGCCGGCATGGAAAGGGCAGCGGAGATGGAGCACTTTGCCAGCCAACAGAGGGTCTACAGGGAGCAGGCGCTCCACGACTCGCATCAGCAGGGCCTCCAGCACAGCCGGCAGTTGCACGGGGAGCTCGCAGCCATCAGAGATCAATGCTGCATGGAGGAGTCTGAGGCAGGTCAGCTGAAGGTCGAGCTCAAGCACCAGAAGGCCCTCTCAGAAGGCAGGGCGAAGAAGCAGCGGGCGATGGTCGAACTCTTCGCCGAGATGAGGGGCGCCAACCGCAAGAGCTATGACTTCACCAAGCAGGCGGCGAAGTGCAACGCGGAAGGAGGCCAGCTGCCAGAACAAACAGCAATCGTAGGGCGACTACTTGGCGGCAGCGCAAAAACATGAAGCGAGACAGCAGGAGGAGCAGCGAAGCAAGGGAGGGAACCATGCCCCGCATGCCCATCACGAGCAGCTGCCAGCACCACGCGCCGCCGAGGAGCGCCTAGCGGCCAGGGCAAGCACACCCAGCCCCTCTCCAACACGGCACAGAGGCGACGATGAGGAGGCAAGGGTAAGGAGGGATAGGTCGCGCAGCCCAGATAGGCCCTCACAGTCAGAGGAGGCAGAGAGGCACAGCATGGAAGTGCCCGCGCAGCTGCTCAAAGAGCAGGAGGCGGAGCAACAATGAGAGGCAGAAGTGATAGAGGATGAAGCGAGGCAGGCAGTCAAAGTACACGAGGCAGAATTGGCACTGCAGCAGAGCATGGACCAAGGCCACAGCTTACCCCGCGAGCACAGCAGTTCCCCAGCCGCAGCCGACGATTGCTCAGAGGAGGCGACGATGCTCCACTCCACGCAATGGTCGCCATCGGGCCCCTCGGCAGGGCGAGCAGTGGAGACCGACGAGCAGCGCGATGCCGAGGCCGACACCGACCTCGCCTCAACGTCCAGGGCCAGCTCCATCCCAACCGAGGAGCCAGAGCCAACGACGCCGAGGGCTGGAGAGGTACTTTCCACCCTCTGCATCCCCGACAGCCCGAGGGAGGAGAGGGACAGGTCCCTGACGCCGACGCATCCGCTGCCAGCAGGTGCCCACGAGCTGCCGCACAGCACAGCGGTGCGAGACGAGTTCGCGCTCACCCCGCAGCCGGAAGTGAGGGCCCGGACAGCGGGCGAAGTGGCAGGCAGCAGCATCGAGCGAAGGTACGACAACATCGACGTGTTCACCAGGCAGTTCACCGAGACGCCAGCAGCAGGCCCCTCGCTCGAGAAGACCTTCGAGCCCGGGCCCAACTTCTCGATGGCCCCCAGGGATGGAGCGGCCAAGGGACAGCGCATCGACTCAGGCGAATCAGGGATCGCGCGTTTTCGCGGCCGTGTCGCCCGCAGAAGAGACGAGGCCAGGAACGCCAGCGCCGATGCCACCTCCCCTGCGGATCCTGGAGGCGACGAGCTGACAGCAGCAGGCACCGCTACCCCCCACAGGGGGGTGAGGTGGCTTAGCAGCGCCGCGAACCTCGAGGACACGCATGGCAGAATTCACCGCCAGGGCTCGGCCGATGGGACCAACGCGGCAGAATGGAGCAGATGCGGGATGAGTGCACATCCTCCGTGGAGTTGGCCAGCATCGGGATCAAATGGCGGACATACTGGGAGCTGACGAGGCGATGTTTTTCATCAAGACAGCGGGGTCTTCCACTGCAATGCCCCAGCGCAGCTCGTTCCCCATCACACTGAAAGCACTGCAGCTGATGGGGATGTTTCAGATAGCGGTTTGCTCATTTCTTCGCTCACATCACCAAATACCGCAGTGCAGATCAGCCCGAGGGGCAGAAGGTCTTGCGAGGCCAGAGCCCCACCTTCACAGGAGCAGGCTGCAGCTGCGCCAGCGAGGCGCCGGACACCCCAGCTGCAGCAGCAAGCGGCAGGCATGCCCACAGTCGCCAGGATCTCGATGGGGCTACGGCGACACCACCCAGGCCAAGCAGGCCTGCTACCGCGTCTCAAGGGGCGCCAGGCAGCACCTCGGCCAATGCTTTGCCTCACAGGCATAGCGTAAAGCCCATGCTGAATACGTTTCAAGTCATAAGCCCGA